CCCAGGGGTTTCACACCATCCCTGTCACCAGAGTCAGATGCAGGGTGAGGCCTTAAGAGAATAATAAATTCAGCATTCAGCTGATAAGCCTTGTCCCAGCTGTGACCATGAGCCCAGCTCTGCACAGCTCAGCTGCCTCATCTGTTAAATGGGCACAATTAACCAGGCCATCAACCTCAGATGAAGTTCCTCCACTGACTACCCAAATGCAGGATCAAGTCCTTGACCCCAGGGATGGGAGGAGACCCACCACCCCCATAGCCTCTCTTGAGCTTGTTAACATCTGCAGAGCGTGCTGTCTCATGAGGTTGGTGTCCGGCTATCACCATCTTCCTGGCCTCACGGGCTCCCTGTTCAGCCCTGTTTCTGCCATGTCATCTCAGTTACTCTTACCTCCTACACCTGTGCCACTTGGTCCTGCTTTCATGGCTGCTCTGCCATCTCTATCCTTGGGTGGACCCAATGTCCATGTCTACAAACCTACACCAACAGCTGGAGAAACTCACACCACCCTGTAGGCTGATGACAACCCCCATCCATCGTCCCTAACCTCAGCAAAGCCCTCCGGTCACTGACCTGTGTGTCATCTTTCTTCTGCCACCATGCCCCTATTTCTCAGCAGATCCCCTGGCCTTCCAGGTCCCTGGTAACATGGAGACCGCAGAGCGTGAGCACCTCCCTTTCTTGAGTCTACCTCCCTGTCTTGGCCCTCATGGCCTCTCCTCTTCAGGAACCCCACCCCATCAGTCACCACCCCTCCTTTAGTCCAGGCCTGTCCATCACCTGGGGCACCCCTGAGTTTCTCCAGGGGTCTATGAATGGCCAGCTCAGTAGACATTCCTGTCCTCTTTGAACCTGGCCTCTCCACAGCCTTTGTCCACCTCTTCCTAGGTCTCTTTCCCTCTTCTCTAGCTTTCCTCCTGCCTCCTGGAATCTTTTATTAACCCTTTTCTGGCCACTTCCCTTTGCCTTAAGTGCTGTGGGCCCCAGAGCTCTAAGATGGCGCAGATAGTTTTGAATTGGGTGGTCAGCAGCCTGAGGCAAACAGGGCTCCTCCCTCCTAACATTTTCCTCTCACTGTCCTTCCTTCTGATCCCAGAAGTCACAAGTCAGACCTTCATCACCCCTGCTAGGGGGGGTAGTCCATTCCCACAATGCAGTTGAGGGTTGGTTTTAAAATATGAACTGACCAGGGGCTGGGGTCATGGCTCAGCGGTAGAGTGCACACCTCACGCCTCACACATGCAAGGCCCTGGGTTCGATCCTCAGCACCACATAAAAATAAATAAATGAAATAAAGTTATTGTGTTCAACTACAAAAAAAATTTTAATGTTTCAAAAAAATATATGAACTGACCACATCTTGCCTTGGCTTAAAACCCATTCTTTAGAGCCACGGGACAAAATTAAAATTCCTGGAGCAAGTCCCCGCCAGCCTCCAATCCCTGTCACACTCTTGTACCCTTCTTCCATGCCCCCAAATGCCATCCACTTACATCAGCCTTCTACTCCCAAAATGCCTAGCACAGTGCCTGGTTCATAAAGGGGCCCAGCACTGACAGGGCGAGGTATCCTCAAAACAAACAACCTGCCATCCAAGTCAACTTGAATGAATGAATGAATGAATGAATGAATGAATGAATGGTCAATGTAGCCAACTTTAAAGTTTCTAGAAGCTCCCTTTGCCCTTGCCTTGACTCTGATTCAGGCCTCTTCACCTCTGTGTCAGGCTCATCCTCCTTCAGCCCCTCCTCTCACCCCATGCCAGTCAGATCCAGCAAAATGGAAATCTGGCCACAATACCTCAGCTCCAGATCCTTACATGAGCATACTACTGCAGAGAGGAAGCTCAAAGGGGATGCTATTGGTGTAGGTTTGTAGACATGGACGTTGGGTCCACCCAAGGACCCAATGGTACTAAGTGGAAAACATCAGTTACAAAGGTCATATATTCAATTGACCCAAAGCATCTGGTTGGCAAATCTATAGAGAGCAAGATCAGTGTTGGCTTAGGGCTGGGCGGCTTGCAGGATGGAGGAAGACAGCTAGAGTGGAAAGGGCTTCTTTAGGAGATGATATCCTAAAGTTGACTGTGGCTAAGTTGTAACGATCTTCGAGGACACTAAAAACCGCTCGATTACTATTCAGCTATGAAAAAGAATGAAATTCTGTCATTTGCAACACGTGATGGAATTGGAGGCCATTGTGTTGAGTGAAATAGCCAGGCACAGAGAGACAAGGAGCAGAATCTAGAAACGTCACTCTCAAAGAAGCTGAGAGTAGAATGGTGATTACAACAGGCTGGGGACAGCAGTGGGTAGGAAAAGGCTGATCACTGGGTACTAAGTTAGAGTTCAGAGCAAGATGCTCTGGGATGCTACTGTACAGTGGGGTGACTCTCGATAACATAACATACAGTATGTTCCAAAACGCTAGAAGAAGGGATTTTGAAAGTTACCACCATAAATAAATGCATTCCTGTAATCCCAGTGGCTTGGGAGGCTGAGGCAGGAAGATTGTGAGTTCAAAGCCAGCCTTAGTAAAACAAAGGCTCTAAGCAACTCAGTGAGACCCTGTCTCTAAACTAAATACAAAAAAGGGCTGGGGATGTGTGGAGTGCCCTGAGTTCAATCTCCAGTACCCTCCACCAAAAAAGAGAAATGATACATGTTTGTACCAAGTATACATGTATTGAAATAGTATATGGCACCCCTCCAATATGTCGAATTTTGTGTTTTCATGTATCAGTTACAAATATTTTTAAAAACACCATTGAGTTGCACCCTTTACATGGGTGAATTGTATGTTATGTGACAAATCTCAATGAAACTATTAAAAAAAAAAGCGGGGGCAGGGCATATAGCTCAGTGGCAGAGCACTTGCCCAGCATGCACAAGGCCCTGGGTTTGATCCCAGCACTGCAACAACAACAAAACCTACAATGGTTTCCCATCCCCCACTAGGGAGACTCCCAGCTGCCACTTAGTTACTATTACCATGGAATAGCACTTAGGATGCCTTGAGTGTTGCTCTTATGCACTTTGAATGGCCCATCCCACTTTACCCTCCAGTAGCTCCCTAATGCAGGCATTATGGTTATACCCCCTTTTCAGAGAGGTAACTGAGGATAAGAGGCTTCAGAGACTTGTCCAGGACTCTATAATTCCCCTGTGGTTATGTCTAGCAGGGGCACTTCATGCAGTATTTTGTAAGGACTTATTTACATGTTTCTTCCCACTGGAAGACAGGTCACCATAACTTGGCAAATGGTGCCTGGTTTAGTGCTAGACTTCTTGCACTGGGCCCTGCAACCATCTAACCTGACTCAAGAACCTTACCAGGACGTAGAAATGCTGGAGGTGGGTTCAGTGTTCTTACCATCTCAGGTCCGGTTACCTTTAAGGAAGGCAGCTCCTGCCCAGCCTGGACACTGCACCCCCGCCCCCCATGCACAGGAGGCAGATTCTAGAGTCTGTTTTCTCCTGAGCCCTTGTGTGAATTCCCTCTCCAAAGTCTCTCTCCCCTACTGGGACCTTTCTCTGTAACCAAGAGGTTGGCCCTGCCCAGAGCCACTGGCTGCACACCTGGAGCCTAGCTCTGTCCCCTAGCAGTCCCCAAGTGCAGCAGGCAGCACAGGAAGTTCTTGGGGATGTACCAGGGAGCCCTGCCCAACCCTGTCTCTTGAGCCCATGCCAAATCCCTCATACTCAAGAATGCCACCAGGCGTGGTGGCGCTCAACTGTAATCCCACCAACTTGGGAGGTTGAGGCAGGAGGAGAGTGAGTTCAACTTGGAAAGACCTGTCTCAAAACAATTTTTCTTTTTTAAAAAAAAGGACTGGGGATGTTACTTCCTGGTACAAAAAAAAAAAAAAGAATATTGTCAGTGTCCCCTGATGTCCTGGGGGTGCTACTGTTTTTGATGGGGGTGGGGAAGTCCTCCTCTAGATGGAGACTGAGCCTTAATGAAGAAATGTGGTCTTTTTCAGAGGACATCCAGAGTGACCACAACTCCTAGGAACTTGGTGATAGATGTGTTAGCAGCATGTCACTCCAGGGGAAACAGTGTCACCCCACCTGGTCCTTTGGCCCTGACCGGCCTTGGGGGCCAGAGTTTGCTCCCATTTGCTCCTAACCTCATTCTAAACATCATTGCCATGCGTCTCACTCTCCCTCCTTCTTTCCTGAACCTCCAGGGTCACCTGCCAACATCTATTGACATGTTCTGTGGGATCCTCCCTAAATAGCTCTACCCAAAATGACTTGGCTGGGGAACAATCTAAGCCAATTTAAACCCCACAGAAGTAAAGACCTAGCTCACTTGCCCCTTCTTGGTGAGGCAGGCCCTTGCCCTCTGACTCTCAAATTCTTCTCTTGTGCCAGGCCAACCTCCTCTGCCTTAAAGACAGATGCTGGAGTCTGTGTAACCATTGAGGCCCACAAGGCTCCAGGGGCAGGCAGCCATCTCGTCCCTCCTTGTGTGCCCCTGGGGTGGGGTTGGGGGAATCCCTGGGGCCCTTAGTGCAGGCAAGTAAGTCACTACCAGCCCTTAGAAACCAGAGTTGGCAGAGGCTGGTTGAATGCCCAGGTGGCCCAGATGCCTGGCTCCTCTCCTGGACATGGGGGGCGGGCTGAGACCCCCTTTTGGCTGCTCAGGAATGGCTCCTTGGGGCAACCATTCCCTCCAAATAAGCAAGACCCCTGACTTGGCTGACTCTCTGCCCCACAGAATTCAGCTCTAGGCAGCTCCCTGAGTCTCCTTCCCTGGCAGAAATGGGGCAAAATCAAGCCGTAATAGCAAGAGCAAGGATAGAAGAAGAGCTCTCAGCCCCTGGCCTCTCTGGAAGTAGGAAGCTGAGCCAGCAGACATCTTCCCACAAGACCCCAGCCCCTGGGGGCTCTTTCCTCGGCATCCCACCAGGCATGTCTGGTGCTTGCCTGGGGACATGCCTGCCAACCCCAAGGTCCAGCCCCTGCCCCTGATCAAACAGCAGTACTTACCATAATAGAAAAAATGAGGGGGATGAGGTTGAGGGGCCAGACAGGGCAGAAGCAAGAGGCGATGGCAAGGATGAGGTAATCTTTGGGGGCTTCTTGGTCCTGGGCGAAGGAGGTGGTGGCGACAGAGGATGCCCGCCTTGAGCTGGCCCGGGAAAGGGAGCCAGGGAGGGAGGCCTCCCGGTGCCCCTCGGAGATCACCTTGAAGGGCAGGCTGTGGCCGTTCTTCTCCAAGTCCAGAGCCTCCGAGAAGGACTTGGACAGATTCAGGGCTTTGTCATCCTTGCCCTCCACCTTGGTGAGGAGCTTCTCCATCTCGGGCAGTTTCAACGGTGAGGTGGAACCCGTCTCCTGAGGTTGCCCTGGGTTAGCCATGTTGGTCTGGGCTTTGGGCTGCTCCAGCTCCAGGGCCTGGACAAGGGGCTTCAGAGGAACCTCAGCGCACCATTCCCCAGCCCGGAGTGGGAGCCTCCAGTGCAGGGATGGAAGGGTGGCCCGGGGACCCAAGGGCCAACTGGGTGCTGGGAGGGTGAGAAGGAGCCAGCTGGGTTCTCAAGGCCAGCTGGGTTCAGAGGCCAGGGCCTGCGCCACCCCTGCAGAGCTCCCAGGGAGCTGCAGCCTCCGGCTCTGCTCAAGTTTGAGGCCAACTTTGCTGACAGCACAGATGGGCGGGGAAGCAGAAGAAAGCGAAGAATGCTCCTTCCTCTCTGGAGTGAGGCTTAGGCTGAGGCAGGGAGGCTGTGTGTGTGTATGTGTGTGTATGCGCGCGTGTGCGCCCCATTCAGCCTCCCTCCCTCTCCACCCTCCTTGGAGATGCCTTTCCTTTTCAATTCCCCTCTCCCCAGAGAGCTACCCAGCAGCATCCCGCCTCTGCCTCAGCCCAGCCCAGCCCAGCCCAGCCCAGCCCAGCCCAGCCCAGCCCAGAGGGACTTGGGCTGGCTTCTGGTTTCCATTGCAACCCCAGGACCTGCTCCTCTGGGTCAGGGGCTCTGGATGGGGAAAACAAAGGTGGGTCACAAAGACATGTCTTCAGCTGTCCTGGGCACTGAGCCCCCTGCCTCTCTACCCAGCAGGCTTGTGCTTCCTCCTATCTGGTAGGAAATGCTGGGCTCTGGGTCTACCACATCCCACCCAGACCTTGACCCTCAGCCCTTAGAGACCTCTAGGCCAAAGTCTTCTTCCTCCCTCCAAGAGGGAAGGGGAGATGTGAACAGCAGGGTGGTCCCTGGAGGACCCACTAACTGGGTTTCTAAGCAGCTCACCAAGGCTTGGGGCAGAGGTTGGGGTGGGGAAAACAGTAGCTTCATCTCATGCCCATCAGGACTTTTCCATGGTGGTGAAGAGCAGCAGGCAGAGACCCTTCTGCTCAGCAGCTGCTCAGGCAGATGCCAGCTCTGGTTGTGGCTGCCTTTCCAGATTCTCTCTCATCTTTGTTCCCTTTTATGTTCCCTCCCTCTGTTTCTGCCTCCTTTATTCTCTGTATCTTTTTCTTTCTAAATCCCTGACCTCTCTCCTTACTTTGATGATCTGGAGCCACTAGAGGTAGGGGTGTGTCGGGGGCAGAGTTTGAAGGGGGTGATGAAATCATCTAAAATCCTAGGGTTATGCATGATATGGGAAATGATGCTGGAAGGGCCTCAGAAGCTGTGGAATTCAAATCTGTTGGTACTGCAGTTTGGAAACTGAGGCCCAGACATGGGAAAAGATGCTCATCTCAAACTGTATCTCAGTTAGACATCAATCCTTGGTCTAGTTCATGAGGCAAGCTAGGAGCAAAACCAACTATGTTAGCGGAAAGAAATGGCTTTGAGTTGCATATCAAGCTGGTTTCAGAAATGCTGCTTCCAGCCAGGTGTGGTGGTGCACACCTGTAATCCCAGCAGTTCTGAAGGCTGAGGCAGGAGGATGGCTAGTTCAAAGGCAGCCTCAGCAACTTAGCAAGGCCCTAAGAACTCAGGGAGACAATGTCTCTAAATAAAATATAAAAAGGGGCTGGGGATGTGATGTGGAGGTTAAGAGGCCCTAGATTCAATTCCAGTACAAAAACAAACAAAAAAAAAACGTTGCTTCCAGTAATGGCTGGGTCAGACAGGTGGAGGGAAATATGTACACACAGAGAACGGCCAGAGGGAAGAACGGAGAGCCCTGGAGAAGAGCCATATGCAGGGCTGACCTAAGAAGAGCTCTAGGGAACTGAAAGGACCCCTAGAAAATAATAAATTTGGAAAATATATTTGTGGCTATAGGGTAAAATTTTTAGGTTTAATAAATCCAACTGTATTAAATTAAGAACTTTTGCACAATAAGGTAAATGCATTGTTATTTGCAAAATGCCCCCCTCAGGGGAGGAGTGTCTACGTCACAGACCTCAGGAAGCCCCTTAACCCCCAGGCCAGTAGCCCAGCCAGAGGAGTGAACTGGGTTCCTCTGCCCCAGGGTTTCCACAGATATGTCATTGCCTTTCAGTTGTGAAATCTCCTTCCAAGGGTAGCAAGTTGGGCCCCTGAGACTGCTGGTCCCCGTCAGTATCCAGGTACACAGAATTTCATGTTACAATCCAGGAGCTGGCTGTTGGGTACAGGGACTCAGGTCCTCTGCAGGACCTCTATCTGCCCAACTCAATTCAGTAGCCTGTGGCTGCATATGACTACCGAACACTTGAAATATGACTAGACAAATTGAGATAAGAGAATTTTGAAGATAACAGAGAAAAAAGAATGTAAACTCTTTTATTCATATTTTATATTGATTGCATGTGTAAATAATAATATCTGGATATATTAGGCTAAGTAAAATGTTACTAAAATTAATGTCACCTATTTCTTCTTACTTTTTAAAAAAATTTACTGTGCCTGGTAGAAAATTTAAAATTAAAATGTGACTTACATTATATATTTTTTTTAGGCAGTGTCTAGACTATAAAACAGAAAGAACCAGACATAAATAAACCTTTTAAATTCTGTAAGCAAAGGAAAGAAAAAAAAATCCAGGTTCGTTAGTGGCATTTGAGGTTGCCTGAATGGGCTAGTTACCTTTTCCTTCTTAGGGCACTAGGAGACCAGGCTTGCTCTGCCCGTGCAAGATGCTGGCTTGCCGCGCCACCTAGTGGGCTGTGTAATGAGGGGAATAACCGGATTTGGAGCCCAACCCTGCCAGCAGTTAAACCAGGTAGGTTCCCATCTAAATGGTTCATGGAAACCCATGGACTATATTAATTCTACAAAGTAGGTTTGGTCTGCATAGTTTTGACTCAACCAGTGTTTTTAAAAAATTCATTCCACATAAGAATTGGGGTTTCAGACTTTCAAAAAAACAAATTTATTTATTTGTTTATGGTACTAGAGATTAAACCCAGGGGGTTCTACCACTAAGCCATATTTATTTATTTTTACTTTATTTTTTATGTTTTTGAGACAGGGTCTAAGTTGCCAAAGCCGGCCTGGAACTTTGTGATCCTCCTGCCTCAGTCTCCCAAACCACCAGGATTACAGGTGTGCACCACCACAACTGGCTAGAGTTTCAGACTTTTAACATAAAATCTTGGAACTCTGGGCAAATTTCCTACAGAAACCGGGCCAGCTGCAGCCTTTAGAAGGGCTTTGAACTCCTTGGTCAACTCCATGTTCCCTGCCTGCCTGGGAATCTGTGTGACGAGCCCTGGGCCAGCTAGACATTTGAGTCAGCCTCTTGCTGTTTCATAGCTGGCTGTCCTCATTGTTCTCTGGGGTAGACACAGGTTACAAGGAAAGAATTCCTCTCTCTTTCCCCATTCCCAACTCGGTGATGGGCACCTGAAGGAGGCAGTGGTGACCCCAGATTCCTCTTCCAGGGTCTGGCTCATAATCAAGGCCAACTGGATGAATTGGAGGAAGCAGGAAACGTTAACCAAGCACCCAGAGTGTGTCCCCACTGACACTGATCCCACCTCTGCCCACCCCCATCCTGTGTGCTCTAAGTGTGACAGATGCCGAGAGAGGTTAGGGATATAAACAGAGGAGGGGGAATTGGGCCTGCATACTAGGGGTGCTTTGGGTGGTGGGGTGAACAGGAAAGAAACCTCAGAAGTTTCAAGTTAGGTCCAGCCTAATTCAAGATGAAGAAGAAATAAAGCCCCCTCTTATCTGTTCTGTAGCCCTTTTTTACTCTGGGCATCTGATTGGGTGTCTGGAAACCTATAGAGCTGACAGAGTGGGCATCATTGAGCCAATTTCTTGTCTCACTGAAGCCTTCTGGGGCCAAGCCACCCCTTCTTTAGAGGCCACAAAAGTCTCCTGACATCTGTGGTCACACATGTATGTGCACATTCGTGAAAGACAAGGAAAACTTAATCTGACGAAGCTTCCATCAGAGTAAGAACCCCAAAATTTCACATCTAGTGAAGTGAGTCCTCCCAAAGGAGCCCTCTGGGAATACATTATTCTTGACATCCTTGCACAAAATATGAACCCACTTCTCTCTGGGGTTATCCAAAGGGGACAGATCTTTCACTTTGGCCGGAGGGGGGGGGGTACTGAGAATTAAACTCAGGGGGTTACTGAGAATTAAACTCAGGGGCACTTGACCACTGAACCATATCCCCAGCCCTATTTTGTATTTTATTTAGAGACAGGGTCTCACTGAGTTGCTTAGGGCCTCAACTTTGCTGAGGCTGGCTTTGAACTCATGATCCTCCTGCCTGAGACTCCCAAGCCACTGGGATTACAAGCTTGTGCCACTGCACCCAGCAGATCTTTCATTTTTAAAAAATAGTTAAGAAGGGCAGGCTCAGTTGCGCCAGGGCGCTAAGATGTCGTTTCCAAAGTATAAGCAAGCCCTCAGAGTTGGGCCACTCTACCCCGACCCTCGACCCCGATATGACATATCTCCGGAAACCCAGAAGGTGCAAGCCAAGAGGTTGGCCATAAGAGCCCGGCTTAAACTGGAGTATCTGCTTCAGTACAACGACCCCAACCACCAAGGGCTCATTGAAGATCCTGCCTTAATTTGCTGGACCTACGAAAGATCAGCAAATATCTACCCAAATTTCAGACCCACTCCCAAGAACTCACTCTTAGGAGCTCTGTTTGGAATTGGAGCCCTCTTCTTCTGGTATTATGTTTTCAAAACTGATAGGGATAGGAAGGAAAAACTTATCCAGGTAGGAAAATTGGACCTAAAATTTAATATCTCCTATTAGTCTGGCAATGATGACTAATATATTATTTGCTTAATAAATCTTCTAATAATCATAAAAATAGTTAAGAAGAATCTAGTGAAAATTAAAAACCATGTTTATCTCTCCAAATCCTCTCTCCATCTGTGCAGGCACCTACATGTTTGCTTGCATGATAATTAGTGGGCATGGACCATTTTGTGATCTGCCCTTTTAACTCACTATTATGTTTATTCGGTTAAAGTAGTAGAGTTTGCCTTTATGGTTGGGCATATGTGTTTTTTAAAACCTTGCACTATAATGAACCAGACTGCTGTGATGGCTTTTTTGCAAATTAAGAAAAAAAAATCCTTTTGGATTGCTTCCTTAATGTATTTTTATCGTGATCTTTCCATATTTGCAAAAAAGGAACAAATATACAGTACAGAGAGAAATCTGTAAAATGTGCCCCTTTCTCCATGTCCCTGACAACCCTGGGTTTTATATTTCTATGTTTTTGCTGTTCTGTCTCATTCATTGCTAGCGCCATGACAGGCACTGTTCTCTATGACAAAGGCCGCCGGTATAAAAGTGTAGGTGTAGGAAGGCACATAATTCTAAAAGGAGCCAAAGAGACTAAGTACATGAGGCCTGGTGAACTGTAAAGCTGCTACAAATGCTCTGACTATTATAGTGAGTGATTATGTGGGCCGAACCCTATGCTACACGCTTTAAATGCATTGTCTCATTTAGTCCATACAGCCTAGGATGTAAGTACTTATTTTATCCCACTATACAAATGGGAACCCCCAAATTGAAATCAGTTGGGTGATTTATTTACACAAGGTCATGCAGCTGATAAACTAGGAGAGGCAAGTGGTCACGCCCCTCTGATGAACTCCCTCACCCGCCACATTTTTATTTCACCTGCAGGGGGCACCCTCACCATTCCTGGGCAGAGAGGGCTGCTGGGTGTGGGAAAAGAACCCTCTTTTAACCCTGGAATTTAGGAAAGCAGGATTTGCTGGTGATTTTATCATGTTTCCAGAGAATAAATCCCTGAGGCCAAAAGAAGGCTAAAGCACTGTCCAGGCTGATTCATCATAAGATTATAATAGGAAACAAACAGGAACACTTTGTGAACTCCTTCTAATTGCCCCATTATGAAGCATGTTCACCTTACAGCCACCCTGAGGTGGCATCATTATCAATGTCACAGGTGAGAAACTAGAGGCCAAGGACATGGCAGAGCAGAACTAGATCCCAGGCAAGTCTGGCTCTTTCCTTTCCACTGTCTGTCACTGTCAGGCTCAGTGGGCAGGACTGGGGCCCAGGTCCCACACTTTGCTCTTGGTTAGACTCAGGATTAAAGCTTTCCTGTGGTCTGTGCCATATCCCTGACTGTGAAATCAGGAGCCCTCAGCCTGTGGCTAGGGATAGGATGCCAAATGTGCCAGCAGTGTTGAGGCTTGCACAAAGCAAAGACTTTTTTTAATTATAGCAGCGAGCCTCACCTTAACTGTTCTGAGGAACCTCACACTCCCTTGGGTCTGTGCCCATGGGCATCTCCCAAGCTTCTGTGGGGTTCCCCATTTTGAGATGGCTATATTTAACCCTTCCCCTCAGACAGCAAGAGCCCAGTTCTCCAAAGGGACCAGAAAGTCCTCAGCCCTCCCCCGGCACATTGGACCCTTAGCCCTGCAAGCACCACCTGCAAAATCATCCCTGTCAGTCTGATTGGGCTAGGCATGAGCCCATCTTAGATATCGCAAAGTTTTCCAGAATTTTCCAGGAGGGGACATTCCTGTGCCTCCCACTCTCTCTGCATCCTTGGCCTGAGGGCTCTCTAACCCTTTCCCCATAATCTTTCCTGGATTCCAAGCCTACCCCTCATCACAGAGGTGCTGGCCCACTATTCCCTGAGAGCTCTACCTGCCAATCTGAGTATAAGCAGGACTTCCTGGCCCCCAATCCTTGGCCCTGCCCTCAGCTTCCTTCCCTGTGAATGGCCAGACTCTCCCATCATGGTAGCCCCTGCTGAGGCTCCCTGCAGATGGTAGTTCTGCAGGGAGGTCCACAGATGGAACTGATCATATCTTTAACCTCCCCATTAACTTCCTCCAGATAATTCCCTCCAGTGGCACGGGAGGAATGTCCTCTCTGGATGGCTCCCTTCCCCTTGGACTCCTCACTGTGCTCAGCCATTGCTGAGGTCTATCTGTGGGAATTAGTCCCTGGCCCCAAAATTTCTCAGTAACCCCTCATCCTTCAGGCTTTCCTGTCATCCTAGACCATGGAGCCAGTGGAGTCGTGACAGCAGACAGAAATGACAATTTTCCTTTTTATTTGGCTGCTTCTGTCTGCCTCTCCCAGATCAGACCTGGGGCAGCCACAGGGGGAAGAGTCCTGACACTGTGCCATCAGACCCAAACAGGTGGCCACCCATACTCCCACACAAGTCCCCCTGTCCAAAAGCAGCGAGAGAAAACGGCTCAGAGGCACAGGAATGCAAAGGCTACTTTCCAAGAAGAGTTCAACAAGTCCAAACCTAAAAGCCAAGCAGGATCCTGCTTCTTTCGCAGAGCCGCTACCCGCGGCTGGGATGTGGAGGTGACGCCCCCGCCCCCAGCGTTCCTTCCTGCTGCCAAGCAGCCTCCTTTCCTCCACGGGTCTCAGCTCATTCAGTTTTGCTCCGTCCAGGACAATATTTTTTGCCGTCTTCCCTTTTATAGTCATCCTGCCAGCCCAGCTTTCCTCAGTGTGCGGCTCAGGAGTGCTGGTAGCCCAACCCGGTGCCTGTTCGCAGGTAGCCCCGGCACCAGGGAAGGGGCCCAGCAGGGGGAGACCCGGGACATCGGCGCCAGTTTCCTCCGTAGGCTTGGCCCCAGACAGGGGCTTCGGCCACCGCCCTGGGCCGTCCCATATACGTGGGTGGCGAGCACGAGGCGCAGCGCGGCGCCGGCTGCAGGAAGGGGCCGGTGGCGTCCCGGCGCCCGAGGTTAGGCCCTGCGGGTTGCGGCGCGGGCCGTGCGGGGCTGGAGCGGGCGTCCCCAGTGCCTCCCGCGCGCGCCGCCTGGCTGTGACACTCCAAGTGGCCGCAGGGCCAGCGGGGAGGGGGGCTGGCACGCAAGACGAGGGAGAGCGCAGTGATGCGGTGGATGGCCCTGCGCAGCGTGGCGATCTTGGAGAGCCTCTTGCCGCCCAGGTCGTGCCGCAGCGCCCGCCGCAGCGCGTTGAAGGCCTCGTTGTAGTCCAGGATGCGCTTGCGCTCCCGCACGTTGGCGGCCATGCGCCGCGCCTTGGACCGCACCGGCCTGGCCTGCCTTCCGCCCGCAGCCTCCCCGGCCTCTCCCTGGCTTCGAGGGGCGCCGTTTTCCCTCAGCACCCCGAAGTTCCTCCCAGGCTCAGGGCAAGAGCCTCCCAAGTCTTCTGCAGAGCCCTCGGCTCCTTTCAGGCCCCTGAGGCCTAGCCCGGACGAGCCTCGGAGCATGGCCTCTTCCCAGGCCCCGCTGCTTCGGCGCTGGGAAGATGAGGCTGACAGTCCGCCCTCTGAGTGTTGGCTCCTGTGGTCTGGACACTCCCTGAACGGCCCTCTCTACCTGGGCTTTATGGCACCACGTGGCTCCCCGCCCTCCCCATCCATCCATCTCCCTCCTGCTTTATTACCTGCCCCCAGGTAGGTTGGCGAGGGAGGAACTGAGAAGGAAGCAAGCAAGGAAGGAAGCATGCAGATTCTTGTACACACACGGGGACCAGCTGGGAAGCCTGGCCATGCCCGGGGCAGAACTCCAATCGCCACCAGGAACTTGCTGTGCCTCACTCCAGGGGTCTCTCTGGGTTGACTGGGATCCACATTCTTTCCGCTGACCCCAGATAGAGTGCCCAAATGTGGATTCTGGGCAGGAGAATTGATAGACCATAGAAGGGTGGCAATGGTGGATTGGATGTTCTTTAGAACCTTGAAAGTTCTTGTCAAGTCTTATGGGCAACTACAGAGCTGTCATTGAGGAAAAGCATGACCAACCCAGAGGATCAATAAAGGAGGAGCAGAGTTGACACAGTCAACCCTGCAGAGCCCCCTTCCTAAGCTGAGTCTAGAGCTTCAGGGTTTTTCAGCTACCAGCTGAGGTTGGTCAGGATTTTGAGTTAGGGTTTTGATTGGGCTCAACTCTCCTCCTACTTCCTTTTGACTTCCTTTCCTTCAGAAAGAGTGGGGCTGAATCAGCAGAGAAGATGGTGAAGATCTTCTTTTCCCTCTAGCTCTCCTGGTAGTACCAATCAGGGGCATCCTTTGAAGCCCAGGGCCATGGGACAGTTCTATTCATGACACAGTACTATCCTGTTAAGGACTCACCAAACCTTTCCTGCTATTACCACCAGGGATTTGAATTTTAAACAGGTTCTCAGAAAAGAAAAATGCTTAATCCTAGAGAAAGACTCCCAGTGGAATTTCAGGCATCCACAGGGAGTTATTTGGAGTTCCTTAAGGTAAATCTCATTCCCAGCCATAACCTGAATGCCAAGGCCTGCTGTGGCATCAGCAGGGATGAGAATGCAGTTCACACTCGTGCCAGAGAACATCAGCAGCAACAATCCCATCATTTCAACTGAATTTCTCCACAGAGGGAAAGTGCAGGGCACTAGGAAACAAACCATATATATTTACTTGTGTAATTTTCAGTCTTGTTCACTAGACTAGAAGTAGCCTAAGGACTTTTTGTACTTCCTGGCTTTTGTTCTTTCCAAAAGAGCAGTATTATGTGGAATTAAGTCAACTAGAGGGCTGGAGTTATGGCTGAGCAGTAAAGCACTTGCCTGGCATGTGTGAGCCACTGGATTCCATCCTCAGCACCACATGAAAAATAAACCCATGAAATAAAAGGAATTGTGGGGGAAAAATAGTTAGCTAGATCAGGGGTCTGAGGCAAAAGGATCCAGAGTTCAAAGCCAGCCTCAGAAATTTAGTGCGGCTCTAAGCAAGACCCTGTCTCTAAATAAAATACAAAAAAAGGGCTGGGGATGTGGCCTAGTGGTTAAGTGTCCCT